CTTAATCAAAGACGTGTTTAATTATTGCAACACGGCTGCGTTAGCCACAACACTCGGATTATTGACCACTTCGCCGAGCGCGTCCAGCACCTCCTTACGGTAGTCATCAAATTCACCATCGATTTCATTAATGGTCTGGTCTTCAATTACGTACAATGTACAGCCAGTTTCACGAATCAACCGTTCGTCGTGAGATACTATAATTACACCACCCTCGTACTCGTTAATGGCTTCTGCTAAGGCGTCAATAGACTCAATGTCGAGATTGTTCGTAGGTTCATCGAGAATCAGCACATCGGGCGCACTTAGACAGAGTTCAGCGAGGGCAACTCGCGCTTTCTGACCACCGGAGAGATCCTTCATTTTTATAGTATGCGCATGGCTCACCAAACCAAACGAACCTAACGCCTTGCGCGCCTTCTCGTGTTGCAAATTGAAAAGGCGTTGCAAATACTCTGCGGCGGACTCCTCGGCAGTTAGATGTTCACCAGAGTGCTGATCAAATCGACCGACTCGAAGCCGATGATTTTTGCGTTGCTCTCCTTTTTGTGGCTCCAATTCCCCAAGTAGCAATTTAAGGAACGTAGATTTGCCCACACCATTTGGCCCAACGATGGCCACTCGACTTGTCAAGTCTATACCGAAATCTGTATTGACAAACAGTGGCTTTTGCCCTTCATAAGCAAAAGTAACATTGTGTATTCCCAAAATAGGGGGTTGCAGCTGTGACGGTTCTGGAAAGCGGAATTTGACGATATACTCTTTTGGACGAGCCAATAGTTCCTGAGGCCCATCATCGTCATCTTGCTTCTGCTGCTTAGGCCTCCCTTTCTCTTGTTTTCGGGTGAGAACTTCTTTCTGCTTTTTTTCAGCTGCTTTCTTTGATTGACCATGAGCTTTCAGTTCTCTCAAGCGTTTCTCCTGCTTCTCATATTCCTTTATCATTTCGCGCCGCTTTTGAACATACATCTTCTTAAACATGGAGTAATTACCCTTGTAGTAATGCAGTTTCTTCTGATCGAGATGTATTATTTCGTTACATACGTTGTCTAAGAAACTCTGGTCGTGGGAAACTATTAAAAGCGTCTTTTTCCAACCCTGCAAATAATTATCTAACCAGATTACAGCGTTCAAATCCAAATGGTTAGTAGGTTCATCAAGCATAAGTAAGGTTGGTTCCAAGTAAAGTGCTCGCGCTAACGAAACACGCATGCGCCAGCCACC